GTCTCCATCTAGGAGAACCATTATGAGGAACCTTGACGAAATGGTGCAAATGATGGAGCACAAAAGGTGTAACGTCACTGAAAAAGTGCCCAAATTAAATACCCAGCGCACAATGGTAGTAACTAAGGTCCAGATCTGAGAAAGAAAATTGCGGGGCATCTTCCACCTTCAAGAGTCTTTCGAAAATTTAGGCTGAACAGATGTATCCACCAAGCTTTATGACTACATCCCAACCCCCTGCAGGGAGACTGATTTCGTTTTAGGGTATTCAAAAGTACAAGATTATCAACTGAAGAGCCCAAAGCAGGTAAAATTATTGCACCAATAAGGAGCATGTTCTGGCGTCATGCGGCTTCAGAGGAATATCTGAGATGGGCGGGAAAACAAGACTGGCATCAAAGCAACCGAGCCTCGCCGATTCGCCAGCTGCTAACGTAGAAACTAAACCCGGAAGACAAGGATCACTAGGCAAATCATCACGTGGCAGAGAAAACGGAAATCTGTTGTCTATGAGGTACCACTCCTTCAAGATACTTCCAGATATTAAACGCCGGATGCTGAGATAAATTTAGACTGGTTTTAAAAACGAGAGGCAATTCTTAAGAGACGGCAAAAGTTGTTTTGCCGTAATCATGAATAGTTCTTTTTAAAACTTAGAGTTTAGACTGGTTTTAAAAACGGACTAAAGATAATTACGGAACAACTGTGCCGCTTCTTAAGAACTGTCTTCTTCCAAATGCTACGATAGCCGAAAGGGCCTATCACGAATCTTTAACAGTCTAGAATTACGGAGTGGTAATGAGGGATTAAGGAAACCTAATGTAAGGCTTATAAAAGTAGTACTCTAAATCATGCATGATTGACAGCCGAAAGAAACTAGATAAACATTCAAAACTTTAATGCATCCTTTCATCTATTCACTGGAAAACAATTTATTCTAGCTGATACGTTTTAAAATACATGAAAATTGTTCAACAGCGAAATTCCAAACGACCGCTTCTTTGCCAAACTATGGCCCATATCTTATTTCAAATCAACTGATGTTCAAATTCTGAGTAGCATTTTTAGGGTTCAGAAATATCTCCATTAATTAGCGCACATATGATCGTGCTATGTAAAGTATTCCGAATCGTTGGACTAAATCAAAACTGAATCTGAAGATGAAACAGCATTTTTCACGGCGATTTTCAAGCTCATGCTCACCTAAGGTCATGCGTGAGTCGTAGAACTGAAAAACTTCGATCCCGAGTACAGGTGGTTTAAATGTATTTTATGAGACGAAACGCTGGGTCACGCGTCTCGATATGGTGCTGAGTAGAGACATTCGAGAGAGCCTTGCTGAACAGCCGCTGCTTTTTCAGATTAAAAAATCAAATCTGCGATGGTTTGGGCACGACTTGCGAATGCTTCCAGAAAGGAAGCCGAAACGGCTACTACTTGCTCAACCGACCAGCTAAAGACCCGGTGGACAGCCAGGAATAACCTGTAGCATGTCTCTGCTCCAGACTCGGCTCGGATTATCTTCAGCCAAACCACAGACGCTAGCACAACGTCGGGAACGTTGGAGATAGTCTGACAGTGCCGTCTCCGCGATCGAAAAGGATAGGCGTATGGAAACGGACTAACTGTATTATATTTTCTTCTGAAATTTCCCTCCTTCACCAACCCAAGAAACTTGGGAGTGAAGTTATGGGCACTGAACGATACCATAGCCTCCATAAAGACATGGACAGAACAGACCACGCAGTTAATGCAAAACTTCTTTAAATCAAATTACTCATGCTTTCTTGGTGAACAGAAGTTTTGTATTGCTGCACTACCAACATTAACACTTTTGCCTTCTACTTGTATTACCTATTTTGCACGTTATGAAACCGGATGATTATCGACTTTGATACAGGATACGGTAGGAGGTGTACAAAATTGTCGTAGTAAGACTCTAGACCTGGTTGGAACGATTCGTCAACTACTAGATATATTAAGTACATATAAGAACCATGCCTTTTTAAACATTTATGGAAGGGTGCGAGGTCAAAAAGTAATTTAGGTGCTTTCCGTTTGTCAGAGACAGGAAACAGTACATTTGCGTACCCTTTGTGGTTTTCGATCTTGTACTTATATGGCATGACTATAACGCTCAAAAAACTGAGATCATTTTGACTTTGGAACTGATAGTATAACTATATTCTATCGAAAACACAGAGCCTCCAAATACTGTGTAACAAACTGGTTAGCGTGTGAAATGCATTATCGATCTACTCTTTACCGTGTTATATAATCAAAATAAAATGAGCGACAAATCATCTTCGTTCAGAGGAAAAACGATATCAGTCTGCCACGTTCCATTATAGTTTATTTACCGGGTAGCGTGTGGAAATGCCTCAGACAGTGTCTCCAGTGTTCCCGACCCTGTGCTAGCTTTTGAACTTCAGCAGAAGATAACCGGAGTTTCGGAGCAAAGTACACCGAGATTCTTGCCCCCAATTATTCTTGGCCGTCCCTTGGGTCTTTGAACGGTCAGCTGGACAAGTAGTAGCCAATTCATTTTGCTTTCAGAACGCATTCGAAAGAGGCGCATGAACTATCACAGCTATGATTTCTCAATATGAGACGCAGCGGCTGAAAAGCTTT